CAGCATTTACAGTTACCATAACCCTTGGTTACAACACCAAGCACATCAATAAGGACTCACACCTCCTCATCATACTCATTTGGAAATTTAGTTCATTAGATTGGAAATATTAACATATTTCAAGATTCATTATCTTTATTCCCCTCGTGTCGGTACGTGACACTCCGCTCCTCAATATATTATCCTGGTGTCGGAACGTGACACTCCAATCCTCATTCTATCCTGGTACCGGAACGTGGCACCCGATCCATATTCTATCCTGGTGTCGGAACGTGACACTCCGATCCTCATATACTATCCTGGTACCGGAACGTGGCACCCGATCCATATTCTATCCTGGTGTCGGAACGTGACACCCGATCCATATTCTATCCTGGTACCGGAACGTGGCACCCGATCCATATTCTATCCTGGTGTCGGAACGTGACACCCGATCCATATTCTATCCTAGTACCGGAACGTGTCACCCGATCCATATTCTATCCTGGTGTCGGAACGTGACACCCGATCCATATTCTATCCTGGTACCGGAACGTGGCACCCGATCCCCTAATCTAACCACTTTCGTTCATCAAGCCTTCTTTTATACCAAGGCATCATCATTAACAAAGTAGATTAGGGTTTCTTTTCAAGATTTGGGATTCAATAGCTTCATCATGCTTATTTATTCATAATTACATAATCACATCATTCATGCAAGCATACAATTAAGCCTATAGAAGGGTTTACAATACTACTAATACATATCATTCACTATTAAGAGTTTACTACGAATAGCATGAAAGCCATAACCTACCTCCACCGAAGAATTGCGATCAACAAGCTATCTTCTCAAAATCCTTGCTATCCTCTTCGTTTCTCTCTCTCTCTACTCGTTCTCTTTCTTTTTCTGTCTCTCTTTGTTCTTTCTATTTTTCTTATTCAAACCCTCTTTCTTTTACCCTAATTAGTATATAATTAAGAATAAAAGATGGCAATAATACCCCACTAATTAACTTAAGGTTTCCTCTTTTAACCCCCAAGAATTTGAGTTATTAATATAAACCCACGAAATATATAATTATAGCAGGAATAGTCCAAAACGCTCCATTAAAACTTAACCAGAAATCCGACTCCAACTGGGATTACGCAAGCTGTGACGGGCCGTCGCGCCTGCGACGGTCTGTCCTGCTGTCCGTTGCATAGTTCAGAAACTTGATTTTTGGGTGAATGGCCTGTGACGGTCCGTCACACCTGTGACGGTCCGTCCTGCCACTCCGTTACGAAGTTCAAAGAGTCGATTTTCAGTAACCAATTTCAGATTTTCTAAGTGTTTGGAAACGAGACCCTGCGACGATCCGTCGTGCCCATGACGGTCCGTCGTTGGGTTCGTCGCCTCAACCTGTTTTTTCAAAAATAAAATCTACTGCTCAAAACGACTAAACAGGTCGTTACAAGTTCGGGGTTCAATTTACACTTCAAGAAAAGGTTTGACACTTAAAGTGTCCGCTAATGTGTGGCTGACGTACGGCTTAGCTAAATGTTTGACTTTTGACCAAATTTAAAAACAAAGTAAAGGAAAAACATTTTTTGATTACTTAAGGGAGATAAATAAAGATTTTAGAGGAAATAACATTTTATTAACAGGCAAAATAAGTAAGTAATAAATACTACTTCATTAAACTTGAAAATAAAGAACACGTTATATTTGGAAATTTTATTAAATTGAAACTAAAAGAAAAACAATGTTAGTCAATATAACAAATAAATAAAGAAAGAAGAGGAGAATAATTTGAACTTGGGCTCCTTGCCCAAAGTGGGCTTTTGACCTTCTTGTCCAAACTCTAACAATTTGCCCAAAAGTGATGCACTTGGGCCTATTAAAACCAAAAGGGAAAATAAAATGTCAATATTTTGACATTTTATAGGACCTATTACAAATACTTCCAATATTTAGTAAAAATGTTAAAATTTTTAGCTTATTGTGCATCTTATTAAAATTTTTATTATTTATTTTAATTGAAAAACACATTGGTTAAAAAAATAGAAAGGAAATATTAAGGGGAAGAGAAAAATATTAAAAAGAAACAATTGCTTAATAGTCTCATCGGTTACAAAAATTTAAAAACAAAAAACTAATCGAAAATTTGCCAATATACACCAATTTATCAAAATACATCAACTTTCATCTCTTTCTTCTTCTTTCACCATGTTTTAAAAAAATACGTCTTTCACCGTTTTTCTAAAAAAAATTCATTTTTCAATTTCCTTGATCTTTTTTTTTTGTTTCCAAACACTTTTATTTACCATGCATTATCATATTTATAGCAGTTTATTCTGCTAAGGCATCACTTTAACGTTATGAAGTTATAATTTATCTTATAAAATTCAGAAATTTTATGATGTTACTTGGTTATCATGTTAAGATTATGAAGTTTGTGTGAGATGGTATATCCTTCTAGGAAATTTTTTAGTATTTACAATACAATACTCATGCATTCATGTATAGATATTCATCCATCTTACATATGTATTTTATTTTGTATTTTCAATAGCACTTTGTATATCAAATATTATGTATTTGAATATAATTTCATATTCTTCCTAATGGTATACCATAATGTTTTATTTTTAAATTTGATTTTGTATTCTTTCTCAACTATAAATAGGCAAAATACAATTTATTTACGTATTCATTATATAGACATTCATCCTATTGCATCAATCAAACAGTTTCGTATTTTATTTTGCCCATTATGTGTTTATACTAACTAGTTTATCTTTTATTTCATATTTATTCACAATTTTAAATAATCAAAATACTTGTTTGTATTTAGATTTTCGCTTTGTATTTCATCTCAATTTGAATACCAAATGATATAGCATCAGGTTTTATACTGTTTCTCTAATTTTCAATTAAAATTGGTATTTATCGTACTCAGTTTGTATTTCATTTTCACTTTGTATGCCAATAAATCCTTATTAATTTATTCTTACGTACAGTTCATTGTTGTGTGTCACTCACAATTTATGTTTCAATTACATAATAAAATAATTACACATAAAATCATATTTAAAGTAGCTCATCTCAGATCATTTTCAAATAAAATTATACTTAAAGAAGTTCAAAAAAGTAAGGATAAAAACTAAGGGAATTCAATATTTAAAAACTAAGGGATTCAAAATTGACCAACAATTTCAGATTTATGTTTAAAAACATCTGACTAAACAATTCAGGTACATAATCCATCGGGTCTTTCACCTTGAAGCTCATGATCTTGTAGTTAACTCTACTCTTCTTGTCCATTGTTTTTTCATTATTTTCTGGATGGACTATAATTTAAATACTGTGACATTGACGCACAGTCAAAATAAATTAGTTGCGCAATGTAATTTTTCAATTGCAACATGACAATTATATTTTGCATGATTAATAAAAAACTAAGAAAATCCAAAATTTAGAATATATAAACATGACACATAATGGATGTCATATATTTCATACGATATATACAAACTACTTTAGGATACATAATGAATACAATTTATTTTGGATATTAATTAAATGGAAAATATCAAAGAAAATTTTAACTTGATACAATATTAAACAACTACATAATGAATAATGTAATATAATTATTTGAGGATACAACTAATTTGGGATACATAGTGAAGCTAATAGAATACAATCTTCTTCATCACTAACTCATGATATGTAATGTAGCTAAAAACATAACTACTTTAAATATAGTTTCTAAAAAAAAACAAATCTTGTGAAGTGAAAAACAAATACACACATTATGCAAGCCAACTAGAATACATTTATTGGTTAGATAAAAAACATAATACAAAATATAAAGTTGTTTATGTTTGTTCAATTTATACATAAAAAATAAACATGTAAAAACAATTTGACTACAAACTAAAAAACATTCAAAATATATTAAAAAACTTTTATGAAACTACTAAATACCTAAATGCTAATGTAGAATCTACTAAATCTGAAATATAAAAATAAATCATTTTTTTTAAAAAAATACTAAAAATCTGAAATACATAAATATTTGATCAGTATTAAAAAACTCACATAAAACTAGAAAAATGACGGAAAATACTTAATACATACAATCCGAAATTCAACAAAATGTGTGATTTGAAAATGAAATTTCGAAAAAATATATGATGACTAAAAAAATACCTTTATTAATTGAGAGATTTCTTAATTAATTGATAGATCTTAACAAATTGGTATGAACTTCAATAAGGGCCCGTTTGGATGAGCTTAATAAAAGCAGCTTTAAAAAAGTACTTTTGAAAGTGCTGAAATTTATTTTTAAAATTAGCACTTATGTGTTTGGATAAAAGTGCTGAAGTTGCTATGCCAAACGTGAAAAGGAAAAAATGGAAGAAAGAGATATTAGGGTTATGTGGGTAATTTGGAGATTGTACAAAAATATTAAGGGCAAAAAGATAAAAATGTGGTCAACTTAAAGCAGCATATAAGCTATAAAAAAAAAACACCCCTACCCCAATTTTTAACTTTTGGCTTAAAATAATTTTTTTTAACTTAAAATAAGTTATTTTGAGGATTGCCAAACAGCTAAATAAGTCAAAAACCAGCTTTTAAGTGAGTTTGACCAGCTTTTAAGCTGAGCCAAACATGCTCTAATTAGTTTTTCTTCAACAACCAGGGAGAGAAAAATGGTGAAAAATTGATGAAAGTAAAGGAAAAGAGAAAACGTGAATGATGGGGATGGTACTAAAAAGTTGACAAAAGAAAAAAAAATTGAAAACGTGAAAGATGAAAAATAAATTTAATGATATTAAAACTTAAGAAGTGTAAATGGGTAGTGGATGTAGAATTTGGTCAAATGTTGGACTTTTTTGAGAATTAAAATTTGGATACAATTTATTTTCTAAAATAATGACATTCTACATTTTCAATAATTATTTTAAAGTGTAGGTGTTTTTACTAATTAAGTTGGGGATTACAACTAGTTTACTATTTTTTTCAAATCGAGGGGATCATCTGTTGGTGATGTCATTGGGATTTTGGGCCCCTCTTTTGCTTGGACCTGCTGTAGCAAATAAGATTTGAGCTTTAGCCCATTTCTCCTATGAAAATCTGCATATATACTTAGTGCCTACTCATTTATATAGGATGTATATTAGCTTGTTTTCCTGTAATCAGCCTATGCACTAAATATATACAATCTATTTCATCTCTCAAACACCTATAATTATGTGTATAAACTTGTATACGTTGCTCTTTGACCTGTATATCATGTATACTATTGTATACGACATGTATCCAACCCATTTCAGACTTCCGGGGACCTGTACCAGTTTTCTTTTTTCAACTTGTTCATTAACTTCCTCCCAAATAAAATAAAATAACCTGAGTTGACTCGAAAAAGAATGTAGTTGGGCCTCTTTGTTCCAATCACTTATGCAAGAGGAGTCGAAATTCAAATAGAATCTTCAAGATGAAGACTCCTCGGCGCCAATTAGGGGTACAAGAGATAGTTATGCTTCACATGCAACAACAAAAAATAAAACAAAATACATAAGTAGTAGTTGCATAGAGGATAAAATAGCTCACATTTAATTATGATAGATAATGAATTTAAACTTGGCATTAAATATTATTCACCAAAATATGGCCATAATCCAAATGACGACTCTATATTCCCAGAATGCATGAACAAAATAAATTGACATATATTTGCTAGGCAGTGAACCTCTAAATAAATCATAACTTGTTACTCATAACATATGTTCATACCAAAATCTCATAACTTATATAACAAATTATAGCAAACAAGTTTTCAACAGTAAGATGCAATTAACTAGAATGAGTTGAGGAATACAATAGCACGACTACTCTAGTAAGCTATGGCGGAATAAATGAGCCAACAGACTGAGCAAAATCAATCTTAAATATCACATACCAGGATATATCGAGGAGGACGATACGGATTGCCAACAGTCATTAGTTAAGACATGCCAAGAATGGAAGAGAAAAAATAAAGTAGCAACTAAATGACTAAAAAGTATAATCTCTAAGGAAAAAACAACTCCCACCCTATTTCAAACTTAGCGAAATCATAGGAAACAACATCAAAATGTAGCTAAAATTAGAACTTGATTCTCAAGCTATATACAATAACAAAAAGTAAGCCCAACTCTCTCAAAACTATAACAACTGATCATTTTTATATGTTCAAATAGAAAAGAATACACGCAAGAAATATAGACTTGATTAACACCACTTTCTAACATAATGCTTGAACAAGGTGATGCAAAGTATTTATTAACCGACTTCCAAAATATAAGAGAGAATATTCAATTCTATCTAAAACAAGATTTCATCCATCATTATTCTAACCAACGTAAGGGAGAACAAAGACGAAACCAAAGAGGCTTCACATAAAAAAGGGCCCAACACAGAACACTTAAAATCTAAACAAAAATGTGTAAGAGGGAAGAGATGTCACCTTTCTTGATACAAAGGAACTAAGACGACAATTTGAAGTCGACTTTCCTCTTAAAGATCAAATGAAATGAACTTTGATGAAACTCTATTGCAAAAGAAACCAGAAGTTCAAAACGAGAGTGTGAGATTTGGATCAAGATTCCTCTTATGAACCACTGTATTTTCTTGTTTCCGCTTTCTTCAATATTTTCCTTATATTTTCGAACCTTTATTATCTAAACCCCCTTAAAAGACAAGAATAGTAGTTATATGTCACACTCCGAGCCTACACCCTGGGCGGGACTGACACTTAAGAACTATTGTTGGCCTCAAGCGAACACATGCCCTGTATTACTTTCTCAACATAAGACTTAAACATAAGAAACATAACGCATGAAATAACTTAAGAGATAATAACTTAGATAAAATGACAACTCAAGTCTTAAATGTATACAACTGAAATAAATAAGACTAAAGAACTATATACTCATCTATGATACCTCTAAAATAAGGAGGTATGTTAGGACAAGACCCACAACATCCTGATAAACTAAATTATAAAACAAATGATAAATAAGAGTCCTCTGGATAAAATAGGGTTCAACTTGATCAACGAGGCGCTGAATGATCATCTTGATTACTTGTGTCTATATCATTAAACTATATAGGTCAAATGCCATTAGTACATTAAATGTACGAGTATGCGAGGGAATGTTAAAACAAAATGTAAGCTTGAAAAGAGTCTGAAAGAAACACTTACCTTGACTTTACTCAATTGATGAATAACTCAACTCAATTGCAGTGTAAAACAACAATAATAGTGCAATTTATACAAAACGTGTAAAATAGTAAATGACACTCAATTTGTTAAAGAAATGCAATAACAAACTCAATTTTACTTGTATAACTAACCGACAACCACCACTATGAGCCTAAGTAGAGATACATCGTCTTGCCCATGCTGTCAAAACTTTTCTATAGTTTGCCGTCATATAGGACACTTTAACTAAGTGAATCCACTAGTTTATGCTTAAGAGAATAAATTAATCATCTAAAAAGTATGATCATTCTCTACCCATGATAAAAACATGGTTTATAGAGAGTTGAGTTATTATGAGCTTGCATCCCCATATCAGTGCTCAATACTACTCCCAAAATGTACTTAGCTTATATGTTTTTAAAACAAACCTCTTTCTTTGGTTTGACATAATTACTGAATACATAGCTGAATATCTCTATTGGAAATCTTTGTTTTTCTTTCTTGTTCAAATGTGAAAACATTTTAAAATCTTGGGAATACTTAGTTCCTTTATAAATTTTCAAGAAATGAACTCAACTCTTTACTCTTTGCTTAACTCCAAATTTAATTCTCAAAACAAAGTTAAAACGTTTGTGAAAGACTTTTGAAAACAACTTTACGAACTTCTCTTGATTTGATTCTTAACTTCTACACTTGACTCTTAACTTTTCTTGAATTGAAATATGGATTTAAGGTTCATGATCTCATGTTTATGGGTGATTTCATTATGTTTATACGTACCTAAGAGTGTTGAAATCAACTAGAAAACATAGATATGTTGCTAAGAAACTACTACCGAAAGGTGGGGGAAGACTGGGAAGAAATGGTGTCCCTAGCCCTCTGGGAGGAGCGGGGCACCAGAGTATGAAATTCAAAGAATGGGTTAGGGTGCCTTGGATGGCGTTGCACACCAGAGCCTAACATTCAGAGTTCTGATAGGGGCGGCACCCCAGTTCCCTACCCAGGTGCACTCCGACTTCTCTCATACGTTTTCATCTCTACACCTCCTATCCTGAAACAATTCAAAATAAACTATACCATCAATATGTCAACTCAGAATCACACCCAAAACATGAAACAAACTCCAGAAAACTTCAACAATAGAAACCCACAAAAATTCAAACGAATTTCACCAAGAACTCATGATTTTCTCACAAATCAATTATACTTCGTTGAATTGAATCATGATTGGTGCATGGGTGAACTTACCCAATGATATGTGATCTCACATACCTAGTATAGACCACCCTTTAAAAAATCAACAAGTGATTCTTGAATAACTTGACGATTCTTCCTCTTTTTCTTCTTTTCTCTTCTCTAATACCCTAACTCACTATTGTAAAAGCATAAACTGAATCCTCAATCCTATCGATTTATACCCCAATCAATAACCAAAACACGAAATTAAGTCATGGGGTATGTAAAAGACTATCATGTCCTTCTGCAATCCGGATAAAATTTCCCTTATTTGAACATTCCAACTTCAAATTGGTATATGTCACTCATACGAATTCAGAATCGCGCAAACTCAGTGGCGTTGTAAAACTTATTCCATGATCTTTCCTAACATATCTGGAAACAACCCTAACTCATACTCATCTAGGAGTTATGGGCATTTGAAGCTTACCAAAAACTCAACTTAACATACTTAACAAATTTTCCAGATTGTTATATTTTTTCCAAAAATGACTATTTCCAATGTTTAACTCTTTCTAGTTCTTTCAATTAGCGATATATTACAATATCTTTCCCTTGGGAACATTCATCATCGAATAAGATTACCCTTAGTAGGTTAAGTGTGTAACATCTAAAAGTTTGCTCAAATACCCAACAAGTAGAATGCAATTACAACATGCCAACTTATAAATAAAATGCCAAGAAAAGGATTAGTACTTTAATTTGGAACTTCTCCAAATTTGAAGAGATATGGATATGTCTTCTTCATAACCTCCTAAAAATTCCAAGTGACTTCCTCAACAAATTGATTCCTCCAAAGAATTCTGACTAATGCTACCTCATCTGTTCTCAACGTGTAAACTTGGCGTTCTAAAATCTGAACGGGAATCTCCTCATAAGAGAAGATACCCTTGATCCCATTATCATTAGTTGGTATAATCAGTGAAGGATCTCCCATGCACTTCCTCAATATGGAAATATGAAATGCTAGATGAACCACTGCTAAATGTTGTGGTAGCTCTAACTAATAAGCTACATTTTCAACCCTCTTGGATATTTTGCAAGAGCCCATATAACGAGGACTAAGCTTCTTCTTCTTACTTAACCTCATAACACCCTTCATGGGTGAAACTTATAAGTATACCCAATCACCTACTTCAAAATCCAACTCCCTTCACCTAATATCACTATAGGATATTTGACGACATTGTGCCATTTTCAAATTTTCTTGAATGATTCTTACCATTTTCATAGCTCGATGAACTAAGTCTGGTCCTATCAACCCAACTTTACCCACTTCAAACCATCAAATAAAATTTTCTCCTTCTCCCATAAAGATCTTCATAAGGAGTCATTTGGATGCTATAGTGATAACTATTATTGTACACAAATTCGATAAGACGTAGGTGACCATCCCAATTACCTTTGAAATCAATTATACAAGACCTCAACATATTCTCTAAGGTATGAATAGTGTGCTCTTCTTACGCATATGTCTAAGGATGAATGGTAGTACTTAAGTTCACCTTTGAACCTATGCCTTTTTGGAATGACTTCGAAAATTACAGTAAATTGCGCACCTCTACCTAAAAAAATGGGGACTGGAATCATACGGAGTCTTAACTATTTCTTGAAGATACAACTTAGCATAGCCCTTTGTTGAATGGGTAGTCTTTATTAGTAAAAGTGGTTGATTTGGTCATTCTATCAACAATCACCCAAATGAAATCATGCTGTCTGCGAGACCTTGGTAAATCTGTGATGAAGTCCATATTAGTCATCTCCCACTTTCATTCTGAAAGTTCTAGCTTTTTAGCTTATCCACCTGGACCTTTGGTGGTCTACTTTAACTTGTTGGCAATTTGGACAATTAGCAACAAATTATGTAATTTTCTTATTCATAATACTCTACTAATAGATTTCTCTTAAGTCACGATATATCTTTGTGGAACCCAGATAAATGGAAAAGTTAGAACTATAAGGTTCATCAATGATCCTCTCTTGGAGTTCATCCACCCTTGGTTCATACAATCTACCTTTATACCTCCAAATATCATCTCCCCTTTATTCAAAAGTCAATACATTTTACTTATGAATATTTGCCTTCAATTGAAGAAAAATAAAATCTTGGTCTTGCTTTTATTTAACCTCTGAGAATAATGATTATTCAGTCCCATTCATCACCACTGCTCCTCCTTATCTTTGCAAAATGGGAAATACTACACATAGACAACCTGTTCAAGGAATCAACAACAACATTAGTCTTACCTGGGTGGTAAAGAATACTCATGTCATAATCCTTGAGTAATTCAAACTACCTTTTTTGTCTGAGACTAAGTTCATTTTGAGTGAACACATACTGAAGTCTTTTGTGATTGATGTACACATCCACATGAACGCCATTAAGATAATGGTTCTATATCTTCAAAGCAAAATCTACGATAACCAACTCTAGGTTATGGGTTGGGCAGTTCCTCTCATGAACTCTCAACTATCTAGAGGTATAAACTATAACCTTGTCATTGTGCATTAACACACAACCCAAACCAACTTTAGCGCATCACAATATACAATAAAGCCTTGTGTACCTTCTGGTAAGGTTAACAGTGGGGAAGTAGTCAACCTCTTTTTCGATTCCTGAAAGTTTTTCTCACAATTGTAGCTTTACTGTCTTGTGAGTCAACTTGGGCAAAGGGGATGAAATAAGTGAGAATTCCTCTACGAACATTCTATTATAGCCATCCAAACCCAAGAAACTGCTAATATCAATTGGATATGTGGGTCTAGGCTAATTTTACACTGCCTCTATTTTTTGGGTATTAACATTAATTCGCTCATCAGTTACAATGAGACCTTAGAATGCCACAGATTCAAGCCAAAACCCACACTTAGAGAACCTACAATATAACTTTCTATCCTTTAAAGTTTTAAGAACTATTCTGAGATTACTAGCATGATCTTCTTCAATACTTGGATTGATGGGTGTGTCAACAATGAAAACGATAAAAATATATCTAGATAAGGTTTGAATACTCTATTCAAAAGGTCCATGAATGACGCAGGTTCATTGGTCAAACCAAAAGACATGACCTGAAATTCATAATGACCATAACGGATCCTGAAAGGTGCCTTTGGAATATCACATTAACTTACTCTTAACTAATGGTAGCAAGATCTGAGGTCTATCTTTGATAAACAAGTGGCATCATGAAGTAGATGGAAAATACTATCAGTTCTCGGAAGAGGATACTTATTCTTGATGGTAACCTTGTTCAACTGAAGTTAATATATATACATTCTAAGGGAACCCTTCTTGTTACTTACAAACAAGACCAGAGCTCCCCGTGGTGAGACACTTGGTTGAATAAAGACCTTATCAAAGAGATCTTTCAATTGTTCTTTAAGCTCTTCAACTCTGTTGGTTCCATTCTATATGGAGGAATAAATATAGGACAATTTTCTGGAAGAACATCTATACCAAAGTCTATCTCTCTCAGGAGGACTTTGGATAGATCATCTGGAAAGACTTCTGGATACTTTTTTACTACTGAAACTAAGTGAATATGAGGTATCTTAAAACTAGAGTCATTAACTTGGAATAAGTGAGATACACACCCCTTGGAAACTAACTTTCTTGCCTTAAGGTACAAAATAAAATGACCCTTAGCACAACTAAACTACTTCTCTACTCTAAGCTTATGTCTTTTTAACAGCAATTGTCACTCTTTGTATATGATCATAAAGTCTTTAGCGATATTGGTTCTAATGACACTTAATTAATGCCGTTAAAGACTTTAACTCTTTATCAATATCAATATTTAATGCCGCTAAAAGTTGTTTTTGTTGTAGTGAAGACTGAATCATTAGTAATTTGGAACTTAACGACTCGATTCCTATAATCGATGGAGGCTTAACAAGAATGAAGACCGTACATACCTAGAATGACAATTAAATCTACCATGTCTTACTAAATTAACTCATCCATGGTATACTTGTGATTGTTGGAAATGACACAATAATGATATACTCACTCATCTAGAATTAAATCCCTAATAGGGGTAGATTTCCAAAAGGGTTCATAGAGTTTCTCTGGAAGAACATTAAACTTATTTGCATGGGTCTAACAAAACATAAACATTAAGAGTAAAGTCTTTGACCATATAGTGACAACATATGGAGAGTTCTCTTCCTCTCAGCGACTACTTTTCGCATAAAGGCAATTTTCTCCTCTGCCATTTTCAAAATCTCCTCTAGGTGAAGCCTTTTCTGGTAGAGCAACTAATGAAGATTAGGCTCTGTTGCTCTAATCTACACTACCTTGCCAATTCATACGGAACTCTTTCATGAAATGACCCTCTTGTCCATACTTGAAACAACCTATAGATCCGTCGTAACATTTACCTAGGTGGGTTCTACCATACTTAGCACATGAAGGATCATAGTGACCTCCTTGTGCCACACTACCCTGAGATTGGGAAGGTCTAGTCCTAAAGTACGGTGAATTCTGACTATTGTACTCAACATTGTTTCTTGATCCATGTGCACTAGAAGATTATAGAGCAGATCCCTTTTGCTTTTGCTGAAAGGACGAAGGATTCACATTACTTCTTTGTTGCCTACATTCAGTCCCGATCTTAGACTTCTTGTTTCCAAAATCCTCCTTATTTCTCAACTTCTTCTTCTCAACCTATTGCACGTAGAACATCAACCTTTCTATATCAATGTCACCTATTAGGTTTAAACCTTACATTCCTTATTCTATTGATGAGACAACCTAGCAACAAACAAACTCATTATACTCCTCGTATCCGCAACCATCTCCGGAGCATAATTGGATAGTTGGGTGAAATTCAACCCATACTCATGGACACTAGGTAAATTTTGCTTAAGAGTGAGAAAATCTCGTGCTTTGGTCTCTTTCAGTTCTCCAAGAAATAAACGCCCCAAGAAAGCCTCTTCAAAACAAGCCTAACTCAGAGGTGGTTCTCTCTCAGCTCTACCCTATTTCCACTGGCCTTACTAAGTCCTAGCAATATTCTTCAGTTGATATGCACCTAGTTCATTTCTCTCAACATCAGCAACGTGCATGACCTCAAATACATTTTACAGCTTCTCAATAATGTTCTTTGGATCCTCAATAGTTATGTAACCAGTGAAACTTGTAGGGTTCATCCTCAAGAACTCGCGAATCCTCAACGTATCATTCCTTTCATGTTAGTTCTCTATTTGGAATTGGTTGTTCAAAACATGACTCAACATTCTTATTGTTTCTCTGAACTCAACACTGGTAACTTCTCTTTGGGGTTTCACTTCAGGTGTATTGAGTACCCCTTGATCCTAAACATTACGCCTAGAAGGATGACCTCTGAAATCTTTGTGGAGGCATGATTAACTGAAAAACATGTGAACACATGAATTAGAAAGAGACTTTTTAAAGATGAACTCTATCGCACAAAATAAGTGTTAAAGAAATGAAGTAATTGTCTAAGTGTTGCATTCTCCTAATTATAGATGTGGCTTACTTCACACTGATAAATTAGACTCTACATACACGTCTTCATAGACTTCCTAGGACTCTTGAACTCTATGCTATGATACCAAGTTTGTCACACCTCCGAGCCTACACTCTGGGTAGGATTGACACTTGAAAACCATTGCTAGCCCCAAGTGAAACCTTGACCTGATTTACTTACTTAGTGGAATACTTAAACATAAGAAACATAACTCATACAATAACTTATCCAAAATAACAACTCAAGTCTTAATCATATACAACTGAAATAAATAAACTAAAGAGCTATAACTACTCATCTATGAACCCTATAAAACAAGAAGGGATATCTTGAAAATACCCATGACATCCTAATGACTAAATTAAAAAACAAATGATAAATAGGAGTCCTCCATATAGAAAGTACGCTCACCAACTTACTTTGAGTGCTCAATTGGATCAATAAGATGCTGGACTATGATCTTGATTACCTGTGTTTGTATCATAAAATAATGCGGGCCAAATGACATCAGTACATTGAATGTACGGGTATGCGAAGGGAATGCTAAAACATAACGTACGCTTGAAAAAAATATGAAACAAACACTTTCCTTGGCTTGGCTCAAATCATGAATAACTTAACTCAAATACAATGTAAAATAACAATAATAGTGCAATTTATGAAAAGCATGTAAAACAATTTATGACAACTCAATTTGTTAAAATATGCAATAAAAAACTCAACTTTACTCTTATAATAAAGTAATACAGTTTTTGTGGAAGGTTCTTTAACCGAGAACCACCACTATTAGCCTAAGTGGTCATACAATGTCTTGCCCACGCTGCCAAAACTGTCCTATACTTTTCTATTATGTAGGTTGCTTTAACTAAGTGGATCCACTAGTCTATGCTTAAAAATACTAAGGAGTTATCTAAAAAGTATGATCCCTTACTACCCATGATAGCTACAAGGTTTATAGAGACATGAATTATTATTAACTCGCGTCCCCATATTGGTTCACAATACTACTCCCAAAATGTACTTGGTTTTATGTTTTTAAAACAAAACTCTTTTTTTTTAATTTGAGATAATTACTCAAAACTTAGCTTAAAATCTCTCCTGGAAATCAGTGTTTTCCTTTCTTATTCAAATGTGAAAACATTTTAAACTTTTGAGAATACTTTGTTCTCTTATAGCTTTTAAAAAAATGAACTCAACTCTTTACTGTTTTTTAACTTAATATTTATATCTTAAAACAAATTTAAAAGGTTTTTGAAAAAAAACTTTCTGAACTTCTCGTGATTTTATTCTCAACTTCTAGATTTGACTCTTAACTTTCCTTGAATTGAAGTATGGAGTCAAGTTTCATGAGTTCATGTTTATGGATTATTTTATGATGTTAGACGTATCTTAGAGTCTTGGAATCAACTAGAAAACATAATTATGTTGCTAAGAAACTAGTACGGAATGATGGCATAAGAATGACAAGAACTGACGTACCTGACGCTCTAGGAGGCACGGGGCTCCAGCGGGTGAAATTCAAAGAATGGGTTGGGGCTCTCTGGCTGGTGCGGCACTCTAAATCCCAACATTCGAAGACCCTTTCTTGGAGCTTTGAGAAGGCAACACCCCAGGGCCCTATCCAGGTGCTCTCTGACTTTTCTCCTTTATTGTTTATCTCTAAACCCCCTATTTCAGTGTAGTTCTTTCCCCAAACACTTAGAATCAACTATACCATAAACATTTGCAAATTCGAATCAAAGTCACTCCCAAACCATGAATCAAACTCAAGTAAACTTCAACAATACAAACCCAGTAGAATTCAAATGATTTCACCAAGAACTCATATGATTTACTTTTAAATCAATTATACTTCACTTAATTGAATCATGATTGACGTGTGGGTGAACTAATCCATTGCTATGTGATATCACATAACTAGTAAGGATCTCCCCTTGATGAAATCCACAAACGATTATCTAAGAACTTGACGATACTTTCTCCTTCTCCTCTTTTCAATTGTTCTTTTCTCTTCTTCTTTTCATTTCTCTAAAATGGTAACTCAATATCGTAAAATCGTAAACTAAACCCTATCAATTAAGACCTCAATTAATTACCAAAAAATCAACTTAAGCCATGGGGTATGGAGAAGACCATAATGCCCTTCTAAAATCTGGGTTAAACTTTTCGTATTTGAACAAACCAAACTTCAAATGGGCATCTCACTCATACGAACTCAGAATCGCACAAAGTCGGTGGCGTTGAAAATACTATACCTAAATCTTCCTACGATATTTGAAAATACACCTTAATCATCCTGAGCTAGGAGTTATTAGTCGCAGATTTTTTAATTGTTTGACCTCATATAGTAAATAATAAATCTGAAAACAATTACATTTTAAATTAGAAAGGTCGGAAAATACAAATGTTTATGATCAAAACTAAAAACAAAATGAAAATAACATAAAAAGTTCAAGAAATACTTTGAGTTAGAAATTACTTGTAGATATGATAAGGAATACATCGATTTAATATAGCACGATTAAGCTACAAATAATATAAACACACAAAAGAGTTTTAGAAATAAAAAAAATAGTACTATATTATTCTGAATGTATATTTATATTTTTGTATGTGTGAATTGTTATGGGGGTAATGATTAATTGAACGGTAAAATAATTATTCAATATTTATTTAAATTTTTGATAATTCAATTTTTCAATGTAGGGGCTTCCAATATTTAAAATAATAAGATGCTGATTATTTTACTTCAATAATCACAGTTGAATACTAACCAATGTAGATTAAAATAGCATCATGGCAAGTAGTAGATGGAGTAAATTTTAATACAAAATATGAAACATAATTAATTTCAAGATATGAAATTTCGAAGACGTTTCTAGATAATATATATTTTTTTCTTATAAATAGACCTTTTTAGACATATATGATACATAAAACATTATAGACGATTCAAAACATGTCAGTCTAGAAGTCTTTGAATATTCAACAAAATGGCGGTCACTAAGAGATCAGTTTTACTAACTGGATTGTTTTGTTTGGCTCTTCTAATTTTGATTTCAGATGATGAAGCTATTAGGTAAGATATTAATTTAAGAAGATGTTCTGATTTTTTGTATTGTTATGCAGCTTATAGTAAGGTAAATTATAAAAGTGATGGTTGCTTGTTTGTTGAATGGGTTAATACTTATTTCTGTGAACCTAATTTTTAATTAACTAGTAAAAAATTACTGCCAATTATTGGCTTATTATGTTGTTTTATGAATAATTCTTTGTATTCAATTTGAAAGATTTTAGATATTCCAAGATTCTTTGATGCTTTGCCCAGACATTCCTTCAATGACCTTCCACTCTTTTTCTTTCTTCTCATAATGATCGAGTTCAAAACATGTGGTAAATAGAGGGTGTGATTCTGACAATATTGGAATACGAATAGCGATATTAGAGGTATGAGTTGTGTAATATGTGAATTTTGAAAAAAAAATTGAGTAGGGATTTAATAGACAGGAGGAAAATTTCGGAAGTGTTTGACATTTGGATTTTTAGGATTAGATAAATTTTGGTGTGAGGAGCTAGCATGATATGGATTTGAGGTTGTTAGGTTGATTATGGGAGGTTTTAGAATCATAGCGGTGCATAAATTGTTAGGAAAACATTCAGATGTTGGATTCAAAGTAGAAATATAAAGTAGAGGGCTCTCTTTTTTTGGAGTAGAGAATTGTTGACAATAATAACCATATTTTTCAAATATTGTGTCTTATCCATTTTAACCCTCATTTAAACAATCTGTTGGATTAATTCCAATCAACTTGTAAAGTTAAAAAATGATAGAGTCATTCACATTTATTTCAATTGAATCAGTATTTTCAACCACTTTTTCGTTGGTTTTTGACAAACCTTGGTCAAACAAGGAACTTTTGGATTAGACCTTGTGAAAGTTGGATGTTATACCATTTTCTCAGCACTGATCAGTTTTAGCTATGTGAAAGGAAAATTAATGAAAAGATAAATGTGTCCGTATGTATAGATGATAAATAATACAAAATAACACACACATGACTGCAAATACATAAGAGTTGCTTCACTTAAAGATAAACCAGCCCATAAGCAAAATTCCTTTTGAATCTTTCATTGACATACTTTTGATTTTTTACGAGATGAAATTCAAATCTCATTGCAGGAGTAGAGAAAATAGAATTTCTCGAAAAATGGGGGCCGATCCTTGAATGGGTGCCTACGTATCTCATGGAGGAGACTTCAGGTCCTACGTAGTTCGACTAACTTGAATCTATTTTTTTTATTTGGCATGAAGAAACAACCCTTTTATGAGATGAGTGAGTGATATTTAGGATTTAAAAGGAAAGATTGAATTTTATTGGAAAACTAAAGAATCAAGAAGTATTTAAACGCATTTTTGATAGTCAATTGGTGTTTGTGCTTATGGGGAAATTTCCAAAAAGAGTGGGCTAGAAAAAACCTCAAACAAAGCAACATATTGAAACAATCAGTTATTGCGGGTCTTAAACAGATGTTTGACCCGTTTGTGCCAATGGTATGCCTAACGATTTGAAGGATGTATAACATCATTTGAAACATTCCACTATCTTTGAAAATCAAATTTGTACAAGCTTTAAGAATAAATTGAATGGAGATACATAATAGGAAAAATGAGATACAAATAATGGGTCTCATGCTAGGGTACAATCCTAAACTATGCTTCCATGGAAGGTCCTTCATTCTTGATTTCTAAACATGTCCGGATGTCAACACTTTTGGATGCAATGATAACTTAATCTTTCTTCGACATGAATAAACTATTATAATCCTTACCGCAATAGGCAAAAGTTTGTCAAATGATGTATGCTTACTTTCAATTTAAAAAAGTATAAGTATAATTGTCTTTTATTAACCATGGCTCAAATTGACACAAGGTGAGATTCTAATGGGCCTAACACGGCTTGGGCGTTGGGGCATGTTACTCAAAATGTGCCAAATTGAGTGATTTAATTTGGATATACTCTAGTTAACTTGGAGAGAAGTTTGAAAAACCGGACATAAACTGAAACGTCAGGGTCAAACTACGACAACCATTGGATAAATGACAAACCAATAAATTACTTGTCATTTCAAAAAGGGTTAAGTATAGTAAAGACCATCCGCGAGATCATAAAACTGTTCTTTAATATACTGTATTTATGTTGTGGTGATGAAAATTCCATGAATGCAAAATGACTGTAAATATTTAAATTAAAGAAAGTAAGACATAAATAGGGTAACACAAATAAGTTATTATTAAGAAACAATCAAAAAACGAGTCAAGTTATTATGGTTAAAACTTGTCTAATTCCCAACAGAGTCACCTTTTCAATTTTGTCAACAAAGAAATAAAAGACTTCACTTGCTTCAGAGATTCAATTCAACCATTTAAAGAAAAATTGATTTTAATGAGAGTTGCCACTTATTTATTTTAAGAAGAAAAAAAAATAAGAAAAAATATTTTCAAAATATTGAAAATGATAAATCATTTAAAAATACAAAAGGTGTGCGGGGTTCAATTTACACTTCAAGAAGGTGTTAGGTACTTTAAGTGTCCGCTAATGCACGGTTAACCTATGACTTGACTAAATGTTTGACTTTCGACAAACTATGAAAATAAAGTAAAGGAAAATCACTTTTAGATTACTCAAGGGAGATAAATCAAGCAAGATTTTTTGAGGAAATAATAATTTATTAATAAAAAGCCTAAGTAAGTAAATAAAAATAATACTTCACTTACAAATAAAAATAAAGAAAGGGCTATCTTTTAGAATTTAATTAAATTTAAACCAAAAGAAAACAAGGTTAGTAAATACAACAAATAAGTAAGAAAGAATTGAAGAGAAAGAAACAAAGTAGCAATCAAATGGCTTGAAAATTTAAACTCTAAGGAAAGAGTAATCCGCTCCCTATTTTGAACTTTGCAAAATCTTAGGAAGCGACATCAAAATGTAGCTAAAATTAGAACATGAATCTCAAGCTATACACAACGCCAAAAAGTAAGCCCAAAACTCTGTTAAAACTTATAAAATCTAATCATTTTTATATGGTTCAAATCGACAAGAATAGAAGCAAGAAATATACTCTTAATTAAGAGCACTTCCCATCAAGATTCTTGAACAAGGTGCTGATAAGTATGAATTCACCGACTCCAAAATATAAGCGAGAATATTCAAGAATAAATCAATCACTCATATTCGAGCTAAAAAAAGCTTTCATCTATGAGTATTTTAATCGAAGTAAGGGAGAACAATAATGAAGCTAAAGATACTTCAAATAAAAAGTGATCATCTCACAACACTTAAAAAATCTAAACAAAAAATGCAAAAGAGGGGAGAGATATGTTACCTTTCTCGAAGAAGCAAAACTGAGACATCGAGTTGAAGCGGACTTCCCTCCTAAAGCTCCGATGAGAAAAACTTCAATGAAACTCCGTCATAAAAGAAATAGGTAGCTCAAAACAATAGTTCAAAATTTTGAATAACTAACTTAGAAACTATGGAAATAAAGATTCCTTTAATGAAGCACTATATTATTTTTGTTGTTTCTCCTTTCTGCTGTTTCTTCCGTATATTTTCCAACTTCTACTTTCTCAACCTCTTTAAGATAGGTAGAAAAATCAGGATTGAAAGGGGGAGGGGGGAGGCAAAAACTGATGAATTAAGGTCATTTTGAATTCGTAATTCGTAATATCTTAAAAGATAACGATGGAAAGTTGGAATAGTCCAGATTCAGATAGTAAATAAAAAATGGGTCGTCTAATTTTGAGAGAAGGGCGAACTAGATTTCTCCATCTTTCTTGATTCGAGAATACTTTTATACGAAGAGGATACGTCAAGAGAAGAGATGGACACGGCTCGCTGTAGTACATGTCACGGTTCATTAGGAAATTTCATTTGCTGGTTTGCATTTTTTAAGGTTCGTGTTGGAGTTTATGGGTTTCACTAGACTATTGGATAACATGATGCAGGTGGGGTCATTCTTTGTACGTATTTTCGGTTGTATTGTACGCTAAGTCTTTTTATTGAAAAGGGCTTGGACTACGGTTGTGTTGCTTGTTGTAATAAAATATGTTGTTGATAAGTGAGATGAAAATAAATGCCGAAGAAATAAACCCAAAGTGGTCTATTACAAATGAGTTTTGCATGAGATAAGTAAGTGGTTAAAATCATAATAAAAGGGGCTATGTTTTGAATTTGGGATTTTGATAAACTGATTGAAATCATGGCCTTATGAAGGTACAATGTTAACCAAATTGAGTTTAATAAAAAAATTTGATGAAACTCAAATAAGATCAATTAATATAATTAACTAATGAGATTCTTAATCTTATCGATATAAAATAAGAAAACTATGACAAACCTAATTTTTCAAAAATATTACAATAACTTCAATCTAAACTAATTTACTAAAATTATTAATTAAGAAATAAAATCTTTTTTAGATGACTTTAGAACATTCACAAGATATACTAATTATATCCAAAAGTAAATAAATATATTCCAAAGTAACAAAATTACATAAAAATCGTTTGAAAAAGTATTTGGAATTTTATAAAAACTAAGTATTTTAAATATTTTGAAATTGAATAAGCTTGATGATTAATATATATTGTGTTGGGTTCAAATTAGATGTCAACTCCCAACATATAACCTACTGAACAAAGTAGCTAGATAGAAATCAAATACGCTTTACACTCTAACTGAACCTCATAAAACTACAACTTGCGCAAAAGTTAGTCCAACCTAGTAATTCTACAAAACACGGTCATGTGCCAAATATTCATCATTCAACAATCAAACAAATCAATACTAATGACAAGTAGTTCATTTATACATAAAAAGTACATCAATCACAATGCACAATGCACTAGTAAATCACCCATAAACATCAAGTGTATTATGTCACAATGATAGTCACTAGCATAAACTATTTCCCATAGACTCTATAAAACTCGTTGGAAAGTACCTCTACATGATAACACTGTCGTCAATGACCTCGACATAATAACACTGACCGATAAAAACTTCTTCATAATAACACTCCCCGGTCAAGACTTGACAAAATAACGCTCGTCAGCATAGACCCTGGCGTAATAACTTATCACATGTCTCATTATAATATTTACCATCAATGTTTACAAGGAAAATCACTCCACATGAAAATAACACCAAATCATAAAATCAAGTCCACAATCATGCTTTCAAGCATTTTCTCAGATTATTAACAAGGGTTACAATAAGGAAATTCACATTATTATGTTCATCACATAGTCTTTTTTCATGTAAACCCCTCTTTATTCATTTAGATATAATAAGTGATCAGTTTAAGCCCTGCACCTCTTTCCCATTACTGTCAAAAGGCAATAAACTAAGAAAGCATACACATTTTCCTAGAAAGTACCAGGTTTAGGAAGCCACTTGACTTAAATGAATCAACAATCACTCCAAGATTTGAGTCTTCCTTTCTCAGTCACTTCCAAAGCCACACAATCTATAAATAAATACTATTCAAAATCACTTTCCCAAAATAACAAAACCCACAACAATTCCCTTGAAGGTGGGTGATTCAACACAATACCCAATTCAAAAATAAGGTCTGAATTTGAATTTTAATACTTGGCAACATTAACTCAAGACTTTAGTAAATTATTAGGGAAAATAGTTTTGAGAAAAGTTTTAACATCAGTTCATAAACTCACTTTTACTTTGAAAATTTAGAGTTGAGAAACATTAACAAAAATTTTATCTCGAAAAAGCCACTTGGTATCTTCTTTACTGAGTTCTCCAAGATCCAAAAATGAAAATGGGGAAGATTCCCAAAATTCGAATTTAACCATTTCCAAGGATCCTTCACGAGCAAGAATCCCTTCCAGTGAACGCAAGTTTTAATGACATGGACTTTTTCAAATGTGGCAGGTCTCCCGTGAACGCAGTCAAGATTCCACGATATGCGGGGTTTTCATTCCTTGCCCTACGTGAATGCTTAACATGCATCGCAAATGCAGAGGGTTTTACCACAATAAAAAAAAGCAACCAACTTAAAAATCATTGAAATGACCCTCGATTCTGAACCCCCATTCACACAAACTACATATGTAAATCAATGATACTCAATGATTCATACTTAGTTAAACCATCAAAACACAAGTCCAGGGTTTTCCTGAGCCGACATCTGTGTAGACCACTAGAAACTATTTTACACCTAAAAAGACAAAAAAAATGTAGTACCTCTCAAAAATCATCAAGATCTCACCTAGGTCTAAAATCATATCACAAATCCAATAAAACTCCCAAAATCCCGATCCAAGCATTTGAACCCCAATTGTTGACCAAAGTCAACCAAAATGCTAACATTCCATTGTTTCACAACTTAGTACCTCAAAACTCAGAAGACTCGTAAACTAACACTAACTATTCTCACTGATCAGATTTCACATTTAAGTACTGATGGAATTGACAAAATTTTATTCCAACACTTGGAACTCCCAAATACACTGAAAGACTTTCTTGACAATTACTTAGCCTTTCAAATTAAAAACTTACGAAAAATCTCAACTTCAAGCTCAAAGTTCCAAACCAATTTTTTAAAAGTCAAACATAAAAGGCTCGGGGTCTATATCGAGAGGTAAAAAGGTTAATTTTCACAAAAGTTAAAAAAACTTATTGATCGGGTCATTACACCATCCACCACTAAAAATCATGTTCGGCATCAAAGATAAAGCAAAAGAAAGTACCTGGGACATAGAATAGTTTAGCGCAAAAGAAAGTACCTAGGACATAGAATAGTTTAGCATACCTAATATATATATAAGACTATGTCTCCTAGGTCACCTCACCGACTGAAGGATGCTACCACTGCACCTTTACTAAAGCAATGTCTTTGGTCCTAAGTTTCCGGACCTGCCTATCCAAGATGCTTATAGGCCACTCTTCAAATGATAAGTCTTGTACAAACTTAACTGAGGGAAAGTACATTGGACTCATCTGGCACGTACTTCCAAAGTATGGAGACATGAAACACGTGATGCAGAGCTGACAAACTAGGTGGCAACACCAACTTATAGGCCACCTCTCCCACACGACTCAAAAATCTCAAAATTTAATAAATCTAGGACAAATCTTTCCTTTCAATGTATACCTCATCACAACTTTCATGGGTGACATTGAAAGCCAAAAATTATCACACTCTATGAACACTAGGGCTGGAACTCTCTGATTCACATAACTCTTCTATTTACTCTGGGTTGTCATATATCTACCTTTGATCATAGGAACTTGCTCCATATCATCTCTAAGAAATTTTGTATCCAATGAGTCAATCTCAACTGAATCAAACCATCCAATCGGAGATCTACACTATCTTCCATAAAACGCCTCAAAAGGGGCCATTTGAAAAATGGAATGTTAATTGTTGTTATCGGAATACTATGCTAAGGGTAAATGCTTATCATATCTAGAACCAAAATCAATCACACAAGCTCGAAACATGTCCTTCAACACCTGAATTGTCTTCTTAGAATGACAATCTTTATGAGGATGGAAGGATGTACACATATCTAATCGAGTACCCAAGCCATTTTAGCAGAACCTTCCAGAAATGGGAAATGAAAAATGAACCTCAATTTGAGACAATAGAAACTGGACTCCTTGACTAATATAATGATCGACTAACTTATCTTCCATATACTTCACCTAAACATTGATGAAATCGGTGGACTTGGTCAACCTATAAACCACCGCCAAATGGAGTCATTACCACCCACGGTTGTAGGTAGTCCCACACAAAAGTCCATATTAATTCGTTCCCACTTCAAAGAAGGAATAAACATCCTTGATGATATATCTCAAGCTGCTAGTGCTCACACTTGACTTGTTTTCAAGTCAAATACCCCAAAATATTGGAATATACTGCTTCATACCACACTACTAATAGTGTTATCTTAGCTCATCATACTTATTAGCCACACCCAGATGAATAGAATATCGGGAAAAATGGATCTCCTCAAGAATATGTATAATCAAATCTCCCACCTTAGACACACAAATATTTCCTCTCATCTGTAAGACACCATCACAGTAAAGGACAGCCTCTTTAACTTCCCCTCTCATTAACTTTTCTTAAATTAGACATAGTTTCTCATCATCAAATTGATGCTAACAAATCTGGTCAACTAAGGAAGAACGATTCATAATAAAAGTAATCAAACCAACCATCTCCTCAATATTCTACAAACATATGAGATTGTAGGCCAATCTATGAACATCTCTAGCCAATGGTCTCTCCTCCACACTAATAGCGACAAGATCTTCCATTCTAGAAGTATTTCTACTCAAAGCATCGGCCAGATGTCATAGTCTTCGGGCATCCCAAACCATTTGCGCTGCCTAAACTTTATATCTCTCTCACTTAAGATATATTGATGACTGTGATGATATCTGAAAACCTCACAATATAATCCATACAAGTAATGTCGATAGCTTAACTTACCCTTGTACATTAGAACACCTCCTAACCCAACTCCAAAAGCACAACAATAAATAGTGAAATCCACACACTCCTTGGGTAAAGTCAAAATAAGAGTCGATGTTAACAAGGTTTTGAGCTTTTGAAATTTCTCCTCACACTCATAAGACCACTGTAAATCACATTCTGACATATAAATCTAGTCAAGGGAGATGCAATAACAGAGAATCTCTGTAAAAGTCTTCGGTAATAGCTTACAAGTCCTACAAAACTCTGTATCTCAGTAGCTGGTGTAGGTTTCGTCCAACCCCTCACTACCTCAATATTGGCTGGTCAACCTGAAGACCTCCTTGGACACCACATGTCCCAAAATTCAACAAAATCGAGCCAAAACTCACACTTTTTAGAACTTTATATTAGATT